TTTGTTTAAATGGTGTTCAAACTACATCATTAATTTTTTTTGAGAGAGAGAGATTTTTGCTGTAGGACGTGTGTGCTTGCTGGAAAGACAGAGAGAGACAGAGAGACAGAAAGCGAGAAATCATCCCCAGGGGGGATGGCCACGCTGCAATCCAGTCTCCTCCATTCTCCTCTCAGGATTTTGAGCAGGCATGCACATGTGTCCAGCATGAGTTTAAGGCACTGGGTCCGGGACTCGAACTGTGGTCAGCTACATGGGAGTCCAGCGACATAGCCATTATGCCATCTGCTGCTCCCTAATGTTCTTTCTTTAAAAAAATAAGGAATTTTATAAGCAAAACAACTACTTTCAGCCATTCATAGTTAGGTGCCGAGGAGGAAATAACTTCCCTAAAATAGGTTATAACTTTTCCATGGATTCAAATGTTTAAAATGCTTGGTTTGTTTTCCTAATGAGCAGAATGAGGAAGGAAGAAACCACGAAGTAACAGTCTGAAAACATAACACTTCTGCAGGTTATTTGGGTTCCTGAATATATGGATTAAAATGAAATTGTACTAAATTAAGCTCTATCTTGAGTGCATGACAGGCTGGATGGTAACTACTTAAAGTACTTACGTACTCCTCCAATACCTATATTTTCAATTCACTGAAGGCTCATTCTGCACTGGACACTGCATCAGGTACTTTAACAGGTGTCGTGGTAAAATTCTCACAAGATCTCTGTAGGGTAGGAATCAGTCTACTCATCTGGTAGGTGAGGAAACCAACACTTTTGGGGATTTAATATCCTAAGCATGTATATGTGGATAGTAAATGAAGTCTGACTCCCAAAACCATGCCTTTGACCACTAGACTATACCTCGTGAGTAGAAAATCAGAAAAGATATTTTCAGTAGATTACTAGTTCTTGGGGCTGGACAGTGGCACGGTGGTAATGCAATGCTCTATGAAGCTGACCCCCTGGGAGGGTTCCAGGTTCACATCTAGAGGACTCCCCGACCACGCCAGGAGCTCCCATGACCTGGAGCTGGCTGAAGCTGGAAGTGGATTATGATGTGTGTTAAGACCTGGTCTGGGGTGTTGTCTCTCTGTCTCTCTCTCAGAAGAAAAGAATTTAAGAATAAAGAAAGAGTTATTAGTTCTTTTTTGCTATGCAACAAGTTACTACAAATTTATAGGCTCGACATAGCAGAGGCCAGAAGCCTGAACTCGGTTCTAATGGGCTAAAAAGGTATCAGCAGGGCTGACCCCTCCCAGAGGTTCTGGAGGAGAGGCTGCTTTCCTGCCCTTCTCAGTCCCTAGAGGCTGCCTGCATTCCTTGGCTTGTGGGCCCTTCCTCCAGCTAAGTGCATCACTGCAGTCTCTGCTTCCAGCTCCACCTCACCCTCCCTTTCACTCTGACTTCCTTGACCGCTTCATAAGGATCCTGTGACTATATTAGGTTCATTAAAATAATACAGAATAATCTCCCCACCTCACAATCTTTAACAAAATTATATCTGCAAAGTCCCTTTGCCCTATAAACTTTATATATATATATATATATA